GCATCACGATCTTGTTTGGAACTCATAGTAAATGTAAAAGAGTTTAAGTGGAGATGGAATTTGATGAACAGTAGTTTGGGGGGAAGATGTTGATGGGGGAGACCCGAGTGTTATTAGGGTTTGGGATGATTTCTTCTCCACAAGATGTGAGCTGTGTCTAGGCGCCACCACCATCCATATCCACATCTACGGTAGTATGTCATAATCAGTGGCGGAGGCAGCATTTCAAACCACCCCTGTACTCTTTTCATAACTTAAATATATAAGTATCTAATAAAAGAATTATTTAATAAAAAATAATTATATCCAAATAATTCATTCATAAATTAAAAATAACCGATTATACTATCATACTTTTCATAAACAAATACGAAGGAATTTTATATAGTGAAAGAAACGCAAAAACATTCGTTGTCTACACTATTATATAAGTCTCTTTCAATGTATCTTACTAAACAAGTATTAGCAAACTGGTCGCCAAATCGACTTGGAAACTTGTTCTTAATATAACTCAAAGCTGAAAATGCTCTTTTTACACTTGCAGTTGTAATTGGTAGATCAAAACTAGTGGGATTGCTGTTGTCGCTAGACAATTTCAGGGTTGTTGGGGAAAGATAGAATAGGCATAAAGAGAAAAGAGACCCGATTAGTTCTTTATTGCAATTGGAATTTCGTTTATTGTATAATAAATTAATTTTATGTCAATTTTTGGACAAGTAATGAGTTGTGTTTTAGTGACAAAGTACTCTAATATTACCTATACGTGTTGTGTTCCATCACCAATATAAATATATATGGCGTATTTTTGTTCCACCGATTTACCCCTGTCCCGGGACAAGGCCAAAAGGCTCTGCCTCCACCACTGGTCATAATATATATTGATGGTGTTATAAACGCGCTGCTACGGATCGGGAAATTGTTGGAATCGACAAAGCAAGAATACGAAAGCGAGAATCGAAACACACAGACACACGATTTACGTGGTTCACTAACACGATGTGTGTTAGCTAGTCCACGGGCGAGAGAGAGCCAGTTTCACTATATCGAGGAGATTACATATTACAGAGGAGTATGAGAAGTATATATAGTACTTCTACATGTGGGTCTAAACCTAATCCAATCTGGCAAAGGAAACGGTTACAGACCAGGCCCAGAACCCGAACCCAAATAACATTGACTTGAATCCCCGATTACCAGTCGTAGCGGCTGATAGTCCGATTCAAGTCATATCAACAAATCTCCACCTTGACTTGAATCCTCTTCCTCTGAAATCTCTGATGTACTCTGCTCCTTCTCTCTCTCCCGCCATCAATGCCCCGTAGGGCGGAGTCACCCACTCAAGACATTCAGCAAGTCCAAGCAGTGTTGGAACTTGCCATGTGGAACCGGCTTCGTGAACATATCACTAGGATTATCCGCGGTGCCAACCTTCTTCACCTTAATCCTCTTCTCTGTCCTCAAGAAATGATACCTCACATCGATGTGCTTAGTCCTCTCATGGTGGACTTGATCCTTGGCCAAGCATATTGCACTCAAACTGTCGCAATACACCATTGCCTGATCATGATGTAGACCCAGATCATCAACCAGTCCCTTCAACCATATTCCCTCCTTAGCAGCTTCTGTCAACGCCATATACTCTGCCTCAGTAGTAGACAATGTCACCGCCGACTGCAGAGTTGCCTTCCAGCTCACTACAGAACTCCCAAGAGTGAATACATAACCGGTCATCGATCTCCTCGTGTCAACATCTCCAGCATAGTCCGAGTCAGAATACCCAGACACCAAGCACTCTGTATCACTTCCGAAGCTAATCCCCACATCTGGTGTACCCTTAAGGTACCGGAAGATCCTCTTCACAGCCTGCCAATGCTCCTTCCCAGGTTGTATCATAAACCTGCTGATAACACTAACAACATGTGCAATATCATGTCTAGTGCATACCATAGCGTACATCAAGCTACCTACTGCACTAGCATATGGGACTCTCGACATGTACTCCTTCTCAGCGTCTGACTATGGTGCATAAGCTGAGGATAGATGAACATTTGAAGCACTAGGAGTATTTAAGGGCTTTGCTGAAGACATGCCAAACCTCGACAGTATCTTCTGGATGTAGCTCTTATGTGACAAGAAAAGCTTCTTCTTCGACCTGTCCCTGTAAATCTCCATACCCAAGATCTTCTGAGCAGCTCCCAAATCCTTCATCTCAAACTCAGCACTGAGAAGCCCCTTTAACTTCTGGATATCAAACTTTGACCTCGCAGCTATGAGCATATCATCCACATACAGAACTAGATATATCATCGAACCATCCTCTGCCTTGCTGTGATATACACAACAATCATATGGACTTCTCTTGTAGCCCAACTCAAGCATGTAACTGTCAAATCTCTTGTACCACTGCTTCGAAGATTGCTTAAGTCCATACAAGGGCTTCTTCAGCTTATAAACATAGTCTTCTTTTCCCGGAACCTCGAATCCTTCTGCTGAGTCATGTAAATTTCTTCTTCCAACTCTCCATGTAGGAAAGCTGTCTTCACGTCTAGCTGCTCGAGCTCCAAGTCATAATGTGCCACTATTGCTAGTAGCACTCTGATCGAAGTATGTCTAACCACTGGTGAGAAAATCTCATTGTAGTCAACTCCTTCCCTCTGCGAGAAGCCTCGTGCAACCACCCGAGCTTTAAATTTCATGCTCTCTATAGAAGTGATTCCTTCCTTCTTCTTGTAGATCCACTTGTTTGTAACAATCTTCCTTCCCTGTGGTCGTTTGACTAGCTCCCAAGTCTGATTCCTGTCATGGGATTCCATCTCATCTCCCATTGCGGCAAGCCACTGATCAGCTGCACCACCCGAAACTGCTTCTCTATAGGATTGTGGCTCTCCTGCATCCACTTCCTCAGCAACCTGAAATGAATACGCCACCATGTCCTCGAAGCCATACCTCTGTGGAGGTACTCCTGCAGTCGCTCTCTTCGGTCTACCGGAAGCAATAGACTGTTTAGCTCGTGCACTGGACTCTGAAGTTTCTGGCTCTGCAGAGACATCCTCATCATGTTGATCTTCTCCACCTTAGTGCTCAAACTCACTCTCATTGAGAGTTTGCAGCTCCACCTGCTTATCAACATTCCTGCTACCTTCAGCAACAGTAACCTTCAACATGGGGTTAAACATAGACTTCTCATCAAAAATCACATTTCTACTAAGTATAACTCGATGCTCAGAAGGTGACCAGACTCGAAATCCCTTAACTCCATCTCCGTAACCCACAAATACACCCTTCTTTGCCCTTGGGTTCAGTTTACCCTTATCCACGTGATAATAAACAGGACACCCAAAAACTTTCAGTGAAGAGTACTCAGCAGGCTTACGATACCACACTTCATAAGGAGTCTTACACTCGATACCTGTGTGTGGTCCACGGTTGATCAGGAAGCACGCCATGTTTACTGTTATCATTATTCTGTGTAATTGATATGGTAATGGGGGACATGAATTGGGGGACAAAACACCAAATGATCTTACGTAAAACTTGACAAGTAAGAGGATTTTAGTTAGTCGTTCAGTACATCACTGGGCGCCTAACTGGGGGACAGTTGGGGGTAACATGTGCATGCGCATTCGGGATTTTTTCTAAGCCAAACAAATCTTTAATTATGTGCCGAAAAATGTCATAGCCTCGTTAGGCATCATATGTGCAATAAATAGTTTTATCTCATTGCTTGAGTTATATCCCTAACCGTGTTATGAGTCGCATTATGTTACATTGTTCTTTCTCTCCATGGTTCTTGCTCCGGGGTCTTAAGCTATTATGATCATGGGGGACATGGATCAACTAGCAGAGTAAAAAGAGGCACATGCACGTCATATGCCAGATGTAGAGGCTAAACAAGTTTGACAACATGAAGACTTCTAGTTAGGCATCAAGTGTACCACTGAATACCTAACTGGGGGACAATTGTTGGGGTTGTAAATATGGCATAGCCCAGCCTAATAGTAAATATGACCTGCAAGGCACATATGGACCCAAGCTCACAAAGCACCACAAGGCCCAACTGAAGCCCAACAAAATATCACAAGGTTTTACCTATAAATATGCTCCTAGGTCTTTCAAGTAAGGGACCTCTTCTTCTCCTCTACTCATTTGGACATATCACTTATCTCTCTACAATCTCTCTCTACCTAAGATCTCCTTATTTCTCTATCATTGCACTAATGTTGATCGTTGGGGTGTAGATAATGGGGGCCATCCCCGCCTTTCACAGACCGGGCGCCTTACTTGTTTCATGGCTGAAACATTATGAAAAGGGGAAGAGTTCTGAATTCCTTCATTTTCTCCCAATTTTGTTTACCACGCTCTTTTTCCCCACCTTAGAATTGGGTATGCAAGAGTCCGCATTTAAATTGAACAAGGAATGAAACATGCTCATATAATTAGATGATGGAAGATCATTCAATAACATTGTATGTCTTTGGTGACAACATTCGTTTATGACGATCCAAATGATCAATGTGTATGCTCGGTTTCACGTTCCGGTGAAAATGAGGATCGAATGCACCAGATTACAAAAGCGCTTCTAATTAAAAGTCGGGTCAAACACTCACAGTAAAAGTGTTATTGGTTCAGAGAATTGATGAGATTGTTTATGAAAAGCTATTAAGTTACACATAATTTGTGTAATTAATTAATGGAATGAAAATATACACCTAAATTTGTTGTCAATTATCGTTTTGGTAATTGTAACGATCAATTTCGAGAACTTACTAGTAGGTACTAGATATAGAGAAAGTTAGGGAGCAACAAAGTGCGTGCGGCTCACATCTCACTAGACAGTTTGATGAAAGTGAATCATTCCTAAACACACCAAACATCACCCCGACCGTCCACTTGTCAATAAGACAAACGATCACACCGCCCCCCTCCCGATCGCCAATCTATCATACACCCGCATGTACCCAATAAAAATCCCTCCTCACCTCCACCTCTTCCTCATTTCATTTCATTGCAGCTCCCACCCAAAACAAAACCTCAACTATATTATTGAGCCGCTCGACACCACCACCGTTCCCCTCTCTTCCTTCCTTCCTTTCATCTCTTCCCTTCCCTTCCCGTAATCTGCAGCGACACAAAGAAAGAAAGAAAGAAATGGCGAGCTGTGACTTGAACCTGAGAGCGACCGACCTCTGCCTCGGCCTCCCCGGCGCCGGCAAGCTGCAGGCCCCTGATTTTGTGGACGCGCCGACGACCAAGGCGAGTGGGAAGAGAGGCTTCTCCGAGACCGTGGATCTGAAGCTCAACCTCCACTCCAATAATAAGCTCGACGGCCATGATGCTGATAACAACAACCACCTCGACACTAACGAATCGGCCGCAAAATCCGCTGCTGCCACCAAGCCCCCCGCCAAGTACATCTTCTTTTTTTATTATTTTAATAATTAACCATCCACCTTTTTGTTTTTTCGTGCTACTTAAGAAATTCGAACCTGACGCGCGGTGTGCAGGGCGCAAGTGGTGGGTTGGCCGCCGGTTAGGTCGTACAGGAGGAACGTGATGGCTATCACCACGCACAAGAGCAGCGGGGAGGAAGATGGGAAGAAGAAGAAGATGACGATGACGAGTAGTGCAAGTCCGGCTGCGGCGGCGGCGGCGTTGGTGAAGGTTTGCATGGACGGGGCGCCGTACCTGCGGAAGGTGGACCTGAAGATGTACAGCAGCTACCAGCAGCTCTCCGACGCGCTCGCCAAAATGTTCTCCTCCTTCACCATGGGTGCGTACCTTCCACCTTCCTTGCCTTCTTTCAAAAAAAATTTTCTTTTTTTTTTAACGCGTGAATAGATCTATAGATTTATGGACTTCTGTGTCGTGGTTAAAACTTAAAAGTAACGACGTACGGTTAATATATTGGTTAATAACAGGGAATTATGGAGCGGAAGGGATGATCGACTTCATGAACGAGAGGAAGCTGATGGATCTGCTCAACAGCTCCGAGTATGTGCCCAGCTATGAGGATAAGGACGGCGACTGGATGCTTGTCGGCGATGTCCCCTGGGAGTATGTTTCTAAATCCCTAATTCCTACTTCAATCACTTCTGTTCCTGTTCACTGATTCCATCTCTCTGATTATTATTGATGATTCGAAATTATTAATACAAGTCATACATGATTAATTATTAATAATGATGATAATGGTCGAAAGAAAAATATAATTGTACAGCAAAACAAAACAAAAAAAAAAAAAAAATACTAATCAGCTGGCTAGCTAGTATTCTTGCCCAACTTGTGATGATAATTATCACCACTTCACCACCTTCCCTCATCATCATCCTCAATATTTATTAATTTAAGTTGTAGCTTGCGACATAATATCTTCCTAAGCTGGCACATTAAGATTTTTTTTTTTGTGGGTTACGAGCAATTGTTGTTGTTCTTCTTATTAAAACGAAAGCCACAGGACAGCTAGGCAGCTGCAGGGTCGAAACCAATTATCACAACAAATACCTGTCTCTATGTATTGTCTAGATAGATATATATAGGTAATAACTATTAACTATATGCGGTTATTAATAAATTTAATTGTCGATGCCACACAGGATGTTCGTTGATTCATGCAAGCGTCTGCGCATTATGAAGGGATCTGAAGCTATTGGACTAGGTATACCGAGATTTTTTTTCATCGGTCGTCAAATAAAAATTCGTTCATTCATTAATTAATTATGTACATAATCTACTAACGCTTATTAATTTGACGGAATTTTCAGCACCGAGAGCAATGGAAAAGTGCAAGAGCAGAGCTTGATGATGGATGTGCATGTCTTGCTGATGAAATGAAAAGTTGTCCTAAAGATTGGAGCCGAAACTATTAATTGGGTGTTCTTCTTATATTTTTTACCGCCGCCTCTCGTTCAAGTAATTTTAAATTTTTGGGGAGTAATTGTGTGACTCTCTTTTTTTTTTTTTGTTTTGTTATGGCACTGTTTTGTAACTTTCACTTTGGATGGGATTAATGGTACATAGATAAATATGTGGAAAAGAATTGGAGATCTAGACATTTGTAATAGACAAGAAAGCAAAACAATAAACCTAACTGTCTGCCATGCAAACTCTCGTTTATTACTAATGTCATCCGATCCCCCACTGTTTTTAAAATTTCTTGCTGCAATGTTGCTTCTCTTAAAGGGTTTGTTTGTTGTTAAATTTGTTGAGTTAGTGTGTTTCATTTATATTCCTTTCATATTTAATCTCTTTCAATTTGTTCCATTAATGTCATCATGTTGGTGTTGGGTTTTTATTTTTTTAATGTCAAGTGCCATTGTTAATTTGTTATCAAATGTAATATTGTATTTTTGGTGAGGGAGAGAATTTATGAGGCAAGTGAGGTGGGGGAACAAAGCCATGTGCATGTTGATGGGGTTAGTCTCTCAGCATATGGAGGGACATTATTTTGTACAGGAATATACTGGAAACAGTATAGAAAAATATTTATTTATTTATTAATTCATTTCAATAAGTTATATATATTAATTACTCGGTTTTGTTGGGTAACCAAGTTTGGGGAGGCATGCACATACATTTAGATTGGTGAATGGAGCTCTTGTTTGAGTGAATGTAGTTGGAAATCATATTAATGGTTGTCGATGGTCGAGGGCCTAGACCCTACTACCATCTTTTCATTTCGATGAAAAATCAGTTCGTCTCGATAATTATGATAAATTTTAAAAAGAATTATAATAATTCTATATTATATATTATAACTCTATATTGTTAGCAATGGAATTATCGAAATTCAAATGCACGGTTTTTTCGATCTAAAATTTTAGATGAACCAAAAATAAAAATAAAAAATATCAAAGAAATCATGTAATCTCATCCCCTCACATTTTTACATGAGGATGAAGGCTCTTGTATAGGTTTTAGAGTTTTGGTGCCTTGTGATTGTGACTTGAATTTATTTATCATGGCAATAAAAAAAATGAAAAACATTTATTTATTAATTTTTTCATAAAATTCCATCAATAAAATGATAGTTTCGATATTGCATGTGTAATTAGACTCATCTAAAAGAAATACCAAAATTCATTTTCATTTTCAAGAAATCAGAAGATAAACTTTTTACGTTAGTTGAGATTATGATCAAGCTCTTCTGTTTTGGGTTGTGAAAGGGTCCACACGTCTTTCAAGTTATAGAAATAATTTATAAGATCGAAGTTGTAAAGTAATGAATGTTTTTGGGATCCTAAAACCGGATTTTAGGTCAAAATTAAGTAATGCAAACTTTGAACTAACGGTTGATAGGTGTCTCTGTTCTGTGTCTGTGGGCAGACACATGCACTCATTTTAAGCAATTTAATAAATTGAAAGAAAGCTTCTTCTTCTTGGATCTGGGAGAGATTTGTGGCAGCAGTTCATGTTATATTATACCTCACCTATACATATTCACATGTTAAAGGGAACACAAAATCATAATTTTTGGCAACTTGCCGCAACTTCTATATGCATATGTGTATTTATTTCATTAAAAGTGGTATGTTATAACCGGGCTGCTCAATTAATACGATATTATAATTGTCCCATAATAAAAGTGTACACTATTATCTATCTATTTTGCAGTGTTATCTTTTCTCAAGCAGATATAAGCTATCTATCTTTGAAGGGGTTAACTTACTAAAATCTAAGATGATAATTCAAGTGAATCATCTCTTTGGAAAATACGTCATATGTGTAAAACAGACTACAAAGATAACATAACCATGGTATTGGAATCAATTACATATTGACAATAACAATGGCATCTCACATCACTATATGTCTCCAATTTGCTACTCAAGCTCTTTACCAGCAGATAAAATATTTGGCATGGATGTCAGGGTTAATAGAGATAAATGAGGATAAACAAAATCATGATGACTAGACCTCGACTTTCACATATCGCATCTATTTATGGTTAGACTTATTTCTTGGTGCTCACAAAAACAATGCATGGTTACTTCAGTAGTGTTCCATTCTCGTATGTAACACTTGTCTCTCGACTACCACTTGATCTACCGACTTGTTCAGACCAATGGAGGCTGAATTTGTCATACCTCCACCATTCATCATCAGTTGGCCGATGCTCTCAATAATAATGTCACACATATAAGCAAATATATTTCTGAAACCAATGACATGCTTTATGCTTAAATGCAGATCATAAAAAATTTATTATATCTAAACACAGACTTATAATTCGATATCATTTTAAGTACCACCTAGTAGAAAGGGAAATGCATACTTAATTACACACCAATGGGCAAAAGGAAACCAATAAAAGGGTTAAAAGGTCGGTTTCTTCTTTTCTTAATCCATGGAGATGCGGTTTCTATGCATAATGAAGGACTATTTCTCCCCACCCGCCTAGCAAAGGAGGAAGAGACCCTGAAATAAACTAAAGGGAAGGTAGGCGGCGGATGCGGCCAACTAATTGCCTCCTCTTCCTCCCTCCCAAAACATTCCCCCAACATCCAAGGCTGGCACCCAGAACTTTCTTAGCTAAGTGCCTTGAATCCGGGCTGATTCGGGATTCACAAAGTCAACCATCCACAAAACAACAATAGCCCTAAAGACCCCAAAAAAAAAAAACATATATACCAATTTGTTATCAAATATATCTATTTTTTAACAAGCTTGTAAAGATTCATCTTCTGATTCAAACAGGCTTGATATTCCCGATCAAGCCCATCATACGAGTCAACGCGCGACTCGAACTTCTTGGTAGAACCCTTCTTCCACACCGTGGGCTCATCCACGCGCTCACTCGCCCACTCCCCCGCCACTGGCCTGACGTAGAAGAAGCGCTCAAACCATGTCTTCTTCAGCTTGGGAGAACCATACATGAACCCGTCAGGCCTGTTATCGCGCCGCTTTATGGACAGGCAGTCGCTTGTCTTACTGGGCTCCTTGATCTTGTAGAACTGGCGGAACAGCCCATACGTGGGCTGGATGTTGAGCCGCTTACAGGCAAGGCGCAGACACGAGACGTGCATAATAATAGAGGGGGAAAGGCGTCCAACTGAGCAGTCGAGACGCCTGTATAAGGCGCACAACAATGGGTCGATGGGAAACTTGAAGCCCATCACCCAGTACTCAGTATAAACCCCGAACCACCCTGGGGGGCAATTGCCAACCGTGCTCCTAACGGAAGGCACCGCGTACTCCCAATGCGGAGGCAAGCCCAACCCGCGCACAATATCCTCGACGTCTTCGCGCGTGTAAATCGAAGAATGGTCAGGCCCCCGCAGCAAGTTATCATGCGGAGCCGGCTGATCGCCCCACATCTCTGCCCAATCCAAGACGGTGTAGACCGCGTCCACGCAACGGGGACCAAGGCGGCTCATTGCCTCGGTCACGCGCACCACGTTGACGGGCTCAGCGATGATCGGCGCGGATTGTGTATCGGAATCTTCGCGCTCTTCGCGCTCGGCCGCGCCCGCAGTACCAGCTCCCCCGGACCCCCCGTCGCGCCCGCGTCGGATTATTAAGACGCCCTGGGCCCGGGTACTCGGACCGGTATCTCCATCTACCTCTACCTCTGTCTCTTCAAGGAGAAAATCGGAATCCGAGTCGACTCGCCCCGACGGCGTCAACGGAACCCCGCCGTCCCCGGACACACCACCGTCCTCATCGCCGGAGTTCGCCAATTCCAGCGACGGATCAGAAGAAACACGTGAAAGGGGGGAAACATTACCTTCTTCGTCGTGTACGATCTCAACCTCGCCGGCGTTGGTGTTGATGTTGTCCATGATAGCAAGAAACAGCAACAAGAACAAGGATCGAAGGCTCAAGATTGTAAAAGAAGAAGAAGAATTACGGCGATGAACCAGAACACGAGAGAGAACAGAGCAGAATTCAGATGTGAAGAATGAAGCAGAATGAATCCCAACCCACACAACGGGTCGATACTTATAATTATTAGAGGGAAGTTGAAGGGTTAAAGTAACCTCGAAAATCGCAACCGTCAGACGTTTCGAATTTCGAAATTCGAAATTCGCCCGCCCAAACGGACGAACCAGGTAAGGACACGTGGACACCTATTCGGAGTAGGCTCTAGCCGCTGACATAACTAGTTACGCACAGCGCCTGGGGGGCATGGCACACCCGCGAGGAAAAAGAAAAAAAAATCCCGCGAAGATCGCGCACGCATCTCAAGTGAATCAGAATCCCACGACCGGCGCGCACTATCAGACGACTACAACTGATATTCTAACGCGGCTACGGAACGGCCAGGCGCGCACAAAGAATCCCAAGAACCGCGCCCCGGGCCCGAGTCAATCAAGCAAAGACCTAAACAGAGGGCGTCCTCAGAACACCCTCTGATGGGGGGCAATTGTTGGGCATGTGACTCGGGCTTAATCGCCAAGGCAAGACGCGCTGAGATAGGGCGCGCACGAAGGCTTGTAGGCGCGCGAGTAGAGAGAAATGACGCGCGCGCACTCAGAGTCCTCCACAAGCTGCGCGCGAGTGGAAAGGGGTTAAGGCGCGGGAGCCCCGACGCGCCGCGAGCCACAAAGCCGCAAGAAGCCTCCCTCGCACACTTCCCAAGGGCCGGCCGCATTGGGATCAGAGACATAGTCGTAGGTACACCCCAGACAGGTCCTAGGTAGGGGGATGGCCTAAATCCCTGACATGTCAATGGTCACATCAGGGGTCAAAAGTCCCATCATGTAATCCACCCGTTCACCCACCTCCATGTAGCCTATAAATATGGCATTTACTCCGGTGGGTGAAGGGGATCGCATTTTTCACCATTCTCTCTCTACAAGAACTACTTCTCTTTCTAATCTCTCTCTCACTCTCTCTCTCTGATTCTGATTCCCCCGATCAAACCCGGCTCTCACGTTTCTTCTCGACCCAAACTCTCATTCGAACCTCACTCCTACACTCAGTTAGGTTCAAACAAGCCCAAAAGACAAAAACCCATAGGTTAGTTATTTGGTGCACTCACTTTTTTGGTACATTCAATTCACCCGCCTCATAATCGTCATTCTGAGCAGGTGATTCATGTGAAAACGATGCCAATCATCACTTGTGGTATGATGAACAAGAACCACATGAATTTGTAAGAAAATCATTTAAGATTTCGTTTAATTCGTATGATTTAGGGTTTAGAAATTTAGGGCTAGGGTTTACAATTTGGGATTTTGGGTTGAGATTCAAAATTGAAGGTTAATAGGTTAGGGTAATAGATTGATTAGTTACATTGTGATTCTATGTTATATCGTCATATTAGACTAATACTATCAATTAAAGTCTAAAATTTGATGTATTAGGACCATTTTTAGAGTTGGGTACATTGTATACATCCTAAAGAATGAGTGCACCGAAGTAGCCACTATATATATATATATACCAATTTGTTATGAAAATATTTATGATTGTGGATGATCGCATTAGATGTTACATAGTATATATGTTACAAATTCTATGTGATTCCTCATTTTTATATTTGAATTTTTTCGTATTACACATTGTTCTCATTTATATGCATTGGTGTTAGAGTTGTAAGAGTTATGTAGTTGTGGCTATGAATATTAAATAGAGTACACAAATGCATTGAGACACATACACAAGAAGAAGGGTAAATACAATTTAATATCCAAACCTTTCATTTTAAACAATATAATAGCCAAATCTTTTCGAAAACAATCTAATATCCAAATCGTCAACTTTCTGTCCGTTTGATCGTTAGTTGACACTTCATCAAGTTCGAAGTACAACACTTCATCAATATCCATCGATATCTTCTCTGAAAAACCACCAACATATAGTGGTTCCAAACCCGAGAAGTCCATGACTCCACCATGATGGTATAGAATATCTAAATATTCTAAATATTCAGTCATATACAATGCCAAAACAAGAAAACAAAGCTGTATTGTGACAATTTCCCATAAACAAAGCTTTTTTGAAGTGTCAACTAACGGTCAAACGGACGGAAAGTTGACGATTTGGATATTAGATTGTTTTCGAAAAGGTTTGACTATTATATTGTTTAAAATGAAAGGTTTGGATATTAAATTGTATTTACCCTAAGAATAACTCTTCTCTCATATTTTCTTGTATTTTTCTCTCTATTTTTGCTCTTGTTTTGTTATATATATTCTTATGGTTTCATAACACGTTATCAGTATGAAACTCTGACTTCTGTAAAAAAAAAAAAGATTCCTTGTTTAAAGTACATCAATTTTCTTTTTTTATTCTTGTGGATATTATCCTGTTATGATTATTTCAATATCCAAAACGATCCTACTTATTTCTCAATAAGTATTAGGTCATCAATGGATATTGTACCTAGTTATCATTTGGTTTACATTATCGTACAATATGATGGATGTTGGTCTTGTAAAATAATATCTTTTATATTGTCACAAAAAATTGCTCTTGAAATAGCAATATTCATCTTCTTATGGCTTTATGCATGTCTTCATTTTTTGAATTTATGTGTATCATCTTGTCCTTGTTAATTTCTGACATAACATGCAGAGCAATGAAAATTCCAATTTCCCGTTTTTTCTCCAAAAATGGAAAATTGAAGAAACTAGAGGCAAGAAAAGAATTGGACATGATAACAAGAATATTGGGAATGTGTGATACCATTATAATGACAAATGCATTTGTCACATACCCGTTTTATGTGAAAGACTTTATTATACTAAGAATTAAAAGGGAAAACAAATGCATATATGCTCATGCAGTAGCAAACCGACAATATTATGAAATCAGTTCTATACATAATAAGTTGATATATCATCCCTTAAGATGAAAATGATATTGTACTTTTCAGAAAAAGAACTTAATTAATTTGGCCCGGCATAAGTTTTTCATTCCCGGTAGTAAATTACACAAATAATTCTTAGAAAAAATTCATATTTACCTATTCGAACTATGGGTATAATGTAACCGTGAAAACGTACTGCATTTAAAAAAATTATTATGGCACACTTTCTGATGCATATATGTATTCAACTTGCTTAAAATTGCTACTCGTCGTGTTGATATGTGATCTAAAGAGGTCGGTGCAACACTATGGGGGTGTTGGTGTAGGCGAAAACATAATGACCATTCAAAATATGTTGGTTAATATGTATAATTAGTATTTTTTGGACTCTTTGCTTGTGCAGTGTTGAGACTCAATCAAATAGAGGATTCAAAATCTTTCTAAAACTCAAATGACAACTCTTTATTGACAACTCTTAATCGGGGGAAATACTATGTTTTGCATCATTTTTTCATATGTTTAGTTATTTTTACATTGGATTTTCTTGTATTTTCTCAAATGTGTGATTGATAGCCTCTATGATTGTTTTTACACATTTGATCTCTTTTTTGGATATTTTTTTATAATTTCAGGGTAATAAGACATCAGAAAGGATGATCATGACATGAAAATAAACGAGAATACGAGCTTCAAGGTTCAAAAGGTGATGGATGGAGGTCAAAATAGAAGCCAAACCCACCAAAATTGAAGAAGAGCCAAAAACTCAATTTCTGAAGTTCTTAAATCCAAAATTGAAGTCTAGAGTGTTGAGTGACGATAGTAGGCTCCTGAAGACGAGTTATCCACAGAAAATCCTGAGAAAAACCCCACTCTTCAAGCCTATAAATATATCACATCGAGCTCCAAATGAGAGACAACTTTACCGGGGGTTTGCTATGCCTTCACGGTAAGTCCACTGCTCAAACTTTGTTTAGAAAACTCATAGAAGAAAAATGGCAGCCAAAGTAGCACCTAGGGGAATCATTTTGGCTAAAAATCCGTCGTTTTTCAGAAAATAGGCCGATTCTCTTCCAATTCAATCCCTCTGTGTTTCCCTCAAATACGAGTAACTATAACGATCTATTGTGTAGGTTTTTGAACTCTGAGTTGATGGATTGATATCATTCGCTTGATTTTTTTTTATTATCTTTATCGATGCAATCGTTTCAATATAATCGTTCTTCGTTTTATTACTATTATTCCTTGTGATTGATTGCTTGAAACCTATATTATGTGTGAGACTGGACACGACTATCTCAATCAATCACCAATGAGTTGAACTATCCCGATTCCTCAAGATAGAAATCTTAGCATTCATCATTGTCTATTGGATCTAATAAACATTAGCCATATAATAGGATGAAAACCACATCAATAAATCTCTTGTAACTCCCATGACTTATCTTACGATCGCATCTAGGGCCAGGGGTAGCGCACAAGCCCAAAACCTGTCGGCTGTTAAGCCCTCAAGCCGTTCGTGGAGTTTGTGGGCTAGCGCACAAACCTAAAACCAAGAATACAATATATTGGGTTGGATCTTTCTATTTGGGTCAAGAGTACAAGCCCAAAACCTTTCGGCCGTTAAGCCCTCAAGAAAGCCTGCAAACCAACAGAAAAGTCGTAACTTTTGACCACACCAAAAGGAACCCAAACGCTGACGTGGCCACAACCCATTGGTACGCTCTGTTCAGAACTCCCCATCACTCCACCACCTAAACAGCAATCGCCACTTGCAAACACAAAAATTCCCTTCCAGAATATATTTTCACTTTTTCCCATTTCTTCTTTACTCTCAATCGGCCGGCGGTCGCCTGGATCGAAATCGCCGCCGCTCTTAAACCCTCGACGACTCTCTTCCCCGGCAGTTCTTTTCACTTCCCTTTTCTTGTCCTTCACAACTCCTCACGTATACCTTTCGTCTCACTCCATGGAATCCTTTTAGGAATAGGTAAGAAAGAAATAATACCTTCCAGCGGATCAGAAAAAAAAACCGATCCGGCCATGGATTTCGTCGAGCTGGAAGCGACGGAAGGCCTGCGATGGTCGTGGAACGCCTGGCCGACGAAGAAATCCGATGCTGCTTCACTCGTAGTCCCACTCAGCATCATGTGCACACCGCTGATGCAGTCGTCGGAGCTCCCGATTCTGCCCTACGAGCCTCTCCACTGCACCCGATGCAACTCCGTGCTGAACCCTTACGCCAGGGTCGATTACCAGACGCGCATTTGGAGCTGCCCCTTCTGCTACCATCGCAACACTTTCCCGATTTCTTATTCGGGCATCGGCGAATCGAATCTCCCCGCGGAGCTATTCCCGACCTACAGTGCCGTGGAGTACAAAATCGACAAGAAAGAAGCGAAGATCGGCACGAGCTCGCAGTTGAGTTACCGATTGGCTCACGGATTGCCTTCTTCCAATGGGTCGCTCTCCTCGATGGCGTCGTTGGGCTCTCCGAGGTTTGGGGCCGGTGGTGGTGGTGGAGGAGGAGGTGGAGGGGGCGGAGAGTTCAGGAAGGTGGGGCCTGCTTTTGTTTTTGTAGTGGATGCTAGCACGGCGGAGGAGGAGCTGAAAGCGGTTAAGACTGAGCTACTGTTGGTTGTGGATCAGTTGCCGGAGAATGCACTGGTGGGTTTGGTTGCGTTTGATTCCATGGTTAGGGTTAGTGATCTGGGTTTCTCAGACTGCTCCAGGGCTGTGGTGTTTCATGGTGGGCGTGAGCTCTCATCAGAGCAGGTAAATGATTTCTATTAGTAATAGACTATTACTATAACTCCTATGTTTCTTGATCAATTTAGATAGTGTTTGTATGAACTTAACTAGAAATACCAGTGATCATAGATAGCACAGAAGGTTGAGATAGATATTCTTGAACATTAAGATCAAAACATCACTCGAGGAATCCTAATCGCTTCTCCGATTGATACACTTGGGCTTTCTAGTGTAAGTTCTTGATGATGAAGTTTGAATAACAACAGAACCTTATGCGATAGCATTGGATAAATGATGATGGTTACTTAAAGTTCTCTTTTGACGGTGCATTGATGTACAAATTTGAGCGATTCTTATGTTTATATTTCGAAATGCAGACTCAAAGATTTCTGGGGTTACCCATCAGAAAGCAACAGCAACTTGGTGTTAATACGCCAATCATCCAAAAGCAGGGATTTTTGCTTCCAGTGTCAGAATGCGAGTTCAACATAACAACTGCAATTGAAGAAATCTGTTCTTTAGATGTTTGCAAGCCTGGTCATCGGCCTCAAAGGTGCACTGGAACAGCAATAGCTGTTGCTCTTGGACTCCTTGAAGGATGTTGTGTGAATACTGGATCCAGGATCATGGTATTCACATCTGGACCTGCAACTTTAGGCCCGGGTGTCGTGGTGGACTCTGATCTTGGGAGCATGATTAGGACTCACAGGGATCTCATTAGTGGCCATGCCCCATACTACAAAAGCTCTCTTAGTTTCTACAGCACTTTGTCTCAGCGGCTGTCCGATGCATCTGTTGTTCTTGATTTATTTGCATGTTCTCTTGATCAAGTAGGAGCAGCAGAACTCAAATCCTCTGTGGAGAAATCAGGTGGATTCTTGCTCTTGAGTGAGTTATTCGACTCCCATGAGTTCAGAAAATGCCTTCGCCACATATTCATTCGCGATGAAGACGGAAACCCAAAAATGTACTTTGATGGAACGATCGAAATAGTGACCACTAAAGATGTAAAGGTCTGTGGAGCTCTTGGACCTTGTGTGTCTCTTGGGAGAAAGAATGATTTAGTAAGCGACCATCAAATAGGCGAAGGTGGGACCTATTTGTGGAAGTTGGGTACACTAACCAATAGGACATGCATAGCTTTCTTCTTTGAAGTGGGGAATGAGCAGAAGGCCCAGCCAGGGTCAGCATTCCTTATTCAGTTCATAATCCGTTTTCGTCGTGGGAACTTGGGAATCTATGAAAGGGTCACAACAGCTGCAAGAAGATGGGTTGGAAGTAAGTCTGCTGAAATTAGTGCTGGTTTTGATCAGGAAGCTGCTGCTGCTGTAATGGCAAGACTGGCCATCCACAGAGCAGAGAAATTCCATGCTAGAGATGTCATCAGATGGCTTGATGACAACCTCATCAGTTTCGCTTCTCAGTTTGGAGACTATATTGAGGAAGATCCATCGTCATTTCGGCTCTCGTCAAACTTCTCTCTCTACCCTCAGTTCATGTACTATCTGAGAAGATCCCAGTTCATAGATGTTTTCAACTCGAGTCCTGATGAGACGGCATTCTTCCGCCTCATGTTAAACCGAGAAGGGGTGGTGACTTCCCTCATCATGATACAACCGACGCTGTTCCAGTACTCGTTCGATGGGCCTCCTGTACCTGTTCTCCTGGATGTTCGGTCCATCTCTCCTGATATCATCTTGCTGTTTGATTCCTACTTCCATGTTGTGATACACTATGGTTCGAACATTGCCCAGTGGAAGAAGCTTGGATACCAGAACGACCCCAGCCACGAGAATCTGCGGAAGCTATTGGAAGCTCCTGAGATTGATGCTGAGCAATTGGTCGAGGATCGAGTCCCAGTACCCAAGGTGATAAAATGTGACCAACACAGCAGTCAGGCTAGGTTTCTTCTGGCCAAGCTGAACCCATCAGTGACTCAGGATTCAATGTACAAAGAAGGCTCGGATGTTATACTCACGGATGATTTCAGCTTGCAAGTGTTCATTGATCATTTGCAGGCGCTGGCGGTCAAAGGTTAAGGAGCGTGTAAGGGTAAAAGGATGATTGTACATATCTTCTTGTGATCTTTGAAATAGATGGGCAGCAGAAGGCATTGTATAGTACCTTGAAGAGGCCGACGCAGTTTTGGGGTTGAGAATAGATTTTAGTAACTTTGATGGTAGTGGTCACCCTTCACAGGGTATATTTTGTTCGTTTGCTTTTGTATTCATCTTCATGTCGGGAGTCTCGAACTCTCGGCATTGTAATATTTAACACGGTGAGTCCTGTCACTCAGTTTTGTTTTGCAATTAAACTATCATAGTTTGCAACTGGACGAAGATCATCTTCCACGACTACAAGGTTGTCAAATCGGTGAAAATCGTTACGCTGATTTAGCAAGTGGTATGGTTTGATCAAGATACAAGTGGTTTATATGTTAGTTTATGGAATACTCGAAAAAACTGAAAATTCAGTATTACCAAATGAGTTGTGCATATATATAATCTATCTTAACACAATCTACCTATAGTTTACACTTTACATTCATATTTAAAGAAATTACCACATTACAAATAAACATGGTCCATGAAACCGTATCGGGGAAATCAACGGTAGGGTATTTTATGCTAAAATCGTGGTTTAACCGTAATTCAACCGTTAAACCGTTAAATACCGCCTACAAATTTAGTCTTCGATACTGGTATTTCGTGGTTAAATCGCTGGTACGGTTTCATGGACCATGCAAATAAAATGACGAATCATCATATTTAAATACAATGTTTAATATCAACATTCAAAAGTTTATATCCGAGTCCAACAAATTCCTTTGTTGTTGTTAGTTAATCCCACCAAAACAACGTTATTTTGTTTCGGAACCGAAAATTGATAATTTTGATTAGAACACTCTTTTTTTTCCGACTTCTACCTTTTTTAACCGATTTTGACTACAACTTTATACCAATGGTCTTAGCCGGTTTGTATCAATATCGGCGGAACCTGATTACGCTGGCCGGCATACCAATGGTTTGACAAGCATGACGACTACTGTACACATGCACAGTCACTGGTTATAGTAGTCCTGATATCTAAATGCCATAATGGTCTATAATACTGCATACTGTATAATGTTTAATGTCATACTAGCCCAACGTCTTTATACTAGCTGCTCCATATTTAATGTCACATATCTATGGAATAATTCACGCCCATATTGGTGCTGCCGTCGTCTGAATGTGCTGACACCCGCTGCTGCTGCTGTTCTACAGTTGTTTTGCTTTGTTTGAGAGTTATTGGAGCCAAGTTCAACAGGTGATTCTTAGCTTCTGTGGATGCGACAGAGCTCCGAACGTTGACTGCCGTCTTTCTCCAAGATTGACACCTGCAAAAAAAGTCCAGAAGGCGTCTAGCAAGCCCTTACAACTCGGCTTGACATGATCAGACCCAACTTGTTAATGACATCCCAACTCCGGTAGAGCAGTTGGCGGTAAGAGAATCAGAGTTGACATCTTCATGCCGGACGAAAGCTCAGATAGCCTTCCCAACCGTGATCATAAACAGAGGATATATCATCACCAAGGGCCAATATGCAGCGCAGGCAACTTCAAGATCCAATCAGGCCCTTGTACCGTGCGTAGGACATGATTCCCAGGAACACAATTAGACACAAAATACCTGTTAATACTACCACCTAGCACAAACAACACAGTTCGTCATTCGGCGATGAAATTGGAAAGGGAACATGGAAAACTTTGCAAGTTTTTGAATTAGTAATATCATTACCCAAATGAATACATATCCATAGCCCACATTCCATGTGAAAGGGATGTTCATGCCAAATATTCCGGCCACCAAAGAATATATTGACGAACATACAGTTGCGGCGCTGAGAAACAACTCCAGCTGCCATGCAAAGAGACAATGTTCAGAGAGAAATTCTATGTACAGACTACAGAGTAAAGCAGGAAGCAGGTTTGCACTTGGAGATGCAAAAGATGGATGGAGAGAAACAATGTACCTGAATAAGCTCGTTTCGATGGTTGTCAAGCTGCAAGACAAAAAGGATGATGCATAAGATTTCACTATGAGAAATGCATCAAAGCAAAAAGCTATTATTTCAATGATTACTGAGTTTCAATCATCACACAGCTCACCCGAATGTTGATGTAATCCTCAGTGTCATCTATGTATTCTCGCAACTGTATGTACCAACAACAAATGATTGATGAAAATGTGTAGAAAAACAGCATCACAGCCTTGTCACGAGTATGTCACTGAAATCTTTTGAATGACCACACAAAACAAGAACAAAGACTAAGGTGCTCACCGTGGTTAATTTGTTCAATGTGCTATCAATTTGCATAAAGTAAGCCTGGAAAACAATTATGACCCATGAGACATTACTGCGACCAGAAAGGAAAAAATCAAATAAGCAGAAGAGTATCATAATAACCTCCAACAACATTTCAAGCTCCTCCACATCATTCTCGTCACTATGAACTGTCACCATGCTTGCTCTGCTAGCCCTAGAGATTTTTGAACCTATGGTGGGGGAAGCAGCAAAACAATTGACACCAGAGCCACTAGTTGGTGAAGAGCTAGCTAACTTCCTCGACAAGTAAAGGTCAGCCATATCATCATCATCATCCAGTAATTGTTCAAGCTCATCTCGGACCTACAACCAAAAGTTATTACCCATTCCCTCATCAACACAATTACGGTCAATTCAATAAGCATGTAAATGAACATTGCACACATGCCTGGAACATAATGCATTTGGATTCACAAGGGGTATGCCATATGTATGAAGTAAACTTCACACACAGGAACCCTAGACAGTAATTGGTATTTACACTACGAGAATAGTCACATGCTCAAATCCATTGATTCACATACTTTCTGGACCCGGGCAGTCAACCTTGTCATTGCACTCTTCAATTTACGAACTCTATCCAAATTGCGACTGCTAATCTGCATATGAAGAGGACAAAGAATAAATAAGAGGAAAAGGCTCCCACAGTAGTCCCTCTTCATCATTTCCCAATTCCAGGACGTTCAGTCAGATTGTAAACAGAAGTCTTTACCTTTGAAGTTAGTTCATCCAATGCAGGGTAAGCAGCAGTCTCTAATTCTGTTGTCCTTGCAGCTAGAAAGCTACAAATGGCTTCCAGAGCGACCTCCAGAGCACGGAATTCAAAAGGAGATTCTGTGATGATACATAATGTGCACTCAATCAGCAAAAAAAGAAGCAGAAAAACCTGAAGTAATTGCTGAATCAAACAGTGTAATGACGAACTTTTTTAAAGGATCAAAATGGACAGATACACTATGCAGCGAAAAATACCATCTTCTTCACCCCCATCAACATCAGTTTGCTGGGTGCCATGGTTTTCTCCACTCACTTGGCCTTCTCTTGCAGGCGGCAATCGCCTCTGAAGCTCCTCGACAACAGGAACAACATTTTCATCCGATGGATCTCTCAGCAAGACCTAGGCATGGTTTAGTGATTATCAGGGGTACAAACAATTCATAGTCTCAGAATCTTCAAGAGTTAAGGGACAGAGAATAGAAGCTAACATTGAGATTCAGCAGTAGAAAGAAACCCCAGCCAGACAATTCCATTATACCATTTTCATAAACAACAACCACAATGCAGCAACTAGCTACGCATAAAGATGGCCAGCCCGTAAAAGTGGCAAGACTTCCCAATTAAGTATCTAGTTTTCAGCGCAAAATTCACATTTCTCCATGCCTCTCTTCGAATTAATTCAGCAACCAAAAATACTATCTAAAAAATCACTAACCTCCTCAGCAGTGATGATCGCCTTGATGTGCTGCAACCAAAGACGAAGCAAGAGTGCCGTCAGTGGAACCAGAGAAGAAATTGAACCACTAATTTTACGACTGAATTACTCGAGCTTTGACTGAACCAGGCAGAAAGACGAACCTCCAAGTTGAGAACGATGGCCCTCTCTCGGCCGAGAATTGCGGAAGGGTAAGACAGCAGAGGATCGAGAATCCGGAGATCGCGCGCGTGAATCTGGACGCGGTGCATGATGGCATGTTTGTCGGCGTCGAGGATGGTGCCTTCGCCGGCGGAATCGACGAGAATCCAACTAGTCGCCGGCTGAGTCTTCTTCTTCACGGCAGCGATCACTACCGCTGCAGGAGGCGGCGGCGTCATCTCTACGGCCGGGTCCGCCGGAACAACAACGTACCCGTCCATTCCCATGTGGCCGTTGTGGGTTTAGGTCTTAAACCTCAAAACTTAAGAACCTAAAAGTTATTGGGTTAAAACATGAGGGTAAATTACAATTAGTAGTCAATTTTTTATATTTTAAAATAGGGTAAATTGCAACTTTGGTCACTGAAATTGTTAAAAATGTTCATGTTTGGTCACTAAAAATATTTAATTTCATTCGTGGTCACTCAAATTAGTTTAACAGTTCAAGTATGGTCCTTCTCTGTTATCTTCCGTCAGTCTCCGTTAACGACGTCAGTTTTTTGCTTATGTGGCTAACAGAAATGCCCAATCAGCCTATTTTAACCCGAAAAATAAAATAAAAAACCGCCACATCATTATAACCCGCCACGTCGTATACTTTAAACCAACCGGAACCAAATATCCCGTGATCTGACCCAGTCAACTTAATTGGAAACATTGAAACCGGCAGCCAAATCCCACCCATCGGTGAAACTCTGGCCTCCGCAAACCCTCAGATCGCCGGTCGTCGGAGAAGAGGAATGGATGCAGCCCATCCGCCACCCTCTCTGTTCTGGTCGACCCGGCCGCCCTTGCCCTCCGACTCCACCCACCCTTGTCCCTCTTCCTCTGTTTCCGTTGTCGAAAACAAGAAGAGGATCGCGACGGAGCAGTCAGAGATCTTCTGGGTTTCTTTCGTGAGATAAAAGAATAAGCAGAGCAATCAGAGATCTGTCCAATGGAAGGCTCGTTGAATCATGAACGTCGGTCAAACCGAGACGCAGGTGGGGGTGATTTTTGGCGAGCTTTAGAGGCTGAGATTTGTGATTCGAAGGTCGATATTTGTGGGACTTCGCAGCGGTGGCAGGGAAATATTATTAGTTGTTATACCGGGGTTTCGTTCTACCGCCGCCACCGCTCAAGGCGATGGAGGCTCCGTCATTGTCGTAGTCCTGGTGGTTGTAGTAGTAGTTCTGCTTAGATCTGAATCTCTCCGTTTTTGTTTCAAAAAAGTGGAGCCACCGCAAATGACAAGATAACACAAAGCGGTCTACAATAATGCTCTCAAGGTCCGGGGATTTATCTCGGATTGGAGCCGAGATTTGAGTTTGTAAGAATTGAGGAACAAGATGAGGGTTCGGGAAATGGATAAGATGATAACGTTATTAATTTCAAGGACAATGGTCACAACGTCAACATCGATCGAGAGGAGAGAATAGCTTCCGGCGAGACTCCCGATGAGGATGGTGGTAGCGGCAAAGGTGTTGTTTGGAGAAGGACGAACTCGGAGGTGGAGTTGAGGAATGGAAGTGGTGGTTGTGGAAAAGAGAAAGGACGGGAAGTAAGGTATGTGGCTGTGGGGGAATTCAGCGAAGGGGGGAGTTGTGCAACGGGGAGAAGGGGAGAAGATAATTATTATTGAGTAAATAAAAAATGTGTATAGGGTCAGGTCATGGGTTGGGTTGGTTTTGATGACGTGGCATGTTGGGTATAAATTTTTTATGGTTAAAATAAGTTGATTGGGTGTTTCTGTTAGCCACATCAGCAAAAAACTGACGCCGTTAACGGAGACTGACGGAAGGTAACGGAGAGTGATCATACTTGAACTGTTAAACTAATTTGAGTGACCACGGATAGAATTAAATATTTTTAGTGACCAAAATGAACGCTTTTAGTAATCCCAGTGACCAAAGTTGCAATTTACCCTTTTAAAATATTAGTTAAAATTTTGAATATAAAATATTTTTCAAATCTGTTTGTAATGTATGAAAATAGTATATATTTTTCTTTTACGGTTAATAATTTTATAACTGTTTTCTTAGTTAAAATAAAAAAGTTTTGAAATGTTGAATTTACGTGTCTCTTCCAATTCAACAATATGTAGTTGTCAAACCAATATTACTAACAAAACTACTAACTGAAAATTAACATTTGGCTAAAATTTTATATTTTGAAATGTTTGGCTAATATTTAAAATTTTGGAAAATGCTTGGCTAATAATTAGTAATTAGCCTTACTTTAAATTTGACTGAACTTTACACTAGTAAACTAGGGTAAATAACTAAATGCTAATTATTAGTCAAATATTTCTCGCATTCTTTTTTATTAGTCAAACCTATTAAAGTGTTAATAATTAGTCAAATGTTAATTTCCAGTTAGTAATATTGACTTGACAACATGATGTTGATTTGGAAGAGACACATAGAAGTCAACATTCCAAAACTTTAGTATTTTAACCATAAAAAAAGTTACAAAATTATTAACGATAACAGAAAAATATCTAATATTTTTATGCGTTACAAAAGATTTGGCTATATTTTGTATTTCAAAAGATTTTACTAATAAAGAAGAATGCGGAAAAGGTTTAGCTAATAATTAGTAAGTATTTACCCAAATAGTTTATTTTGGTATGTAGTTTATAAAATATCCAACCTGCCCTAAATTATGCACCATGTCACCATCTATATTAATTTGGTCGAACCCATTGGTTGATCATCACGTTGGATAATCAACATTGTTTTTTTATAATGGTGATGAACTTAGATTAATAAAAGGAAGTTCCAAGTTGTTCCTCTCACAAGAAGTGAGAGATAACAAGATGAGAAAAAAACCGAAACACAAACAGGAGGGAAAAAAAAAACAAGCAGGGGAAAAAAAGAAAGAACCCCAAAATGGAAGAAGAAAGAACCCCAAAATGGAAGAACATCCAGGAACATAAAAGGTCTGGGAAGTCAACCAATCCTATTGAGCTGAAGAAGGAGCCTCCCCTGATCGATACTTAACTTGCCATGAGATGTAGTCCACTCGACGATTGCTCTTCTAATCTTCTTAGAAACCACCTGCTGCGGGCATGAACTTTGCTGAAAAATCCTTTGGTTTCTTTCTTTCCAAACATACAAGCAAAAAGCATGGGTAATACAGTGTCTGAACCATCCCTCCACACCATTCGGGTCCATTGTGTCATTCTGATTTATAGCTATGGAAATGTCATTTGATGAAAACACTGATTTGGAGGTGCCACCCAACAAGTCTTCCTGCAAGCTTCTAGCGAACAGACAGTTTAAGAATATGTGGTTTATTGATTCTTCATCCTTTTGACAGAGCTCGCAGCGATTTGCCAACACGAAACCTCGCCTCTTAAGGTTGTCAATGGTGAAGATCTTTTTGTGCCAGACCAGCCAAAGGAATCCGCAAATTTTTGTGGGAGCAATGTTTTTCCAAATAGCTTGATGCAGAAAGCCCTCCATCCCAGTATATCGATCATCAACCTGCATTCTGTGCATAGAGCTAACAGAGAAATTCTTATCAGAGCACGGGTTCCATACCATTCGACATGGATCAATCAAAAGATGATGAGAATTCTCGTTCACCTTTTCCAAAAAGTTATTCCTCTCCCTCTCAGCCCCACCCCGAAGATTGATCGAAAAAGGTATATCCCACAATTTGTTCTCACCTGTCCAGGACATAGACTCTAAAAGATTAGTGTTGGGCATGGAAGCAGCAGTAGACCGTGGAAAAGACGCAACAAGCAGCTCCTTGGGATCCAAGTATCGTGTCATAACGAGATTCCAATACCCGAGCCTGGTTCCACGCTAGGCCCTTTCCAGAAAACGTCACCAACCTTGCAAATATTTGCCCACACAGAGCTACTAAACCCTTCTTCAACTCTCCTTGGTCTCCATTCAGATATTGGGTGGTGATACTTTATTTCAATGAGTTGTCTCCACCAATTACCTCTTTCTGTGGCATATTTCCACAACCATTTACCCAGAAAGGCATTGTTGAAGCTTTCGAGATGAACATCCCCTAAGCCTCCTCTTTGTTTTGAAGCTTTGCATAACTCCCAACGAGCCAAATGCATCTTGTCCTCACTGCTCGTACCGCTCCATAAGAAGCTTCTTTGATTTTTTTCCAGACGATTAATGACCGTGTTTGGGGCTTTACCAACTGCAAAATGGTACATTGGAAGGCTGTTAAGCGTAGAGGAGTTTAAGGTCAGCCTAGCCCCGAAGGATAGACACTTGTTCTTCTAGCCTTGCAGTCGCCTTTGATACTTATCCACAACCGAATTCCAGGCAGAGACAGCAGTTGGGTGGTCTCCCAAAGGTAGCCCGAGATATCTTGAGGGATCTTTGCTCCATTTACACCCAAATATTGAAGCAAAATACCCAGGTTCAGGAATATCCCCAATTGTGTACATGGTAGACTTGTCGAGGTTAATCTTCAATCCTGTGATGGACTGAAAGCAGACGAGTATGGCAAGGATGTTAATAACCTGCTCTGCAAAAGCATCACAAAAAATGAGGGAGTCGTCCGCAAACAATAGATGTGTGACTTCGCCAACACCCCTACTCTCGTCCATGAAAAAGCCTGAAATTCCTTTACAAAGCTTTGATATTAGGAAGGATAGAACTTCCATAACAAGAACAAAAAGACTCGAGAAGAGGGGGTCTCCCTGTCTTACACCTTTCCAGAATTGAAATACCCATAAGCCTCACCATTTACCAAAACAGAAGTCTTCAACGAGCATATGTCACCTTTGATCCATTGCCGCCACTTTGGAGGGAAGCCAACACTTTTCATTAGATTAAATAAGCAGTCCCAGCTTACATTATCGAACGCTTTTTCAATATCCAGCTTGAAAATGAGTCCCAGTTTTCTGCTCTTCTTTCTAATGTTGATGAGTTCATTTGCGATCAGCATAGCCTCCGAGATATGCCTACCAATGACTGAGGCATGCTGATTATGAGAGATTAGCTTGGGGAGTACATTACTCATACGTTTCATGAGTACTTTACTGACAATCTTATGAAAGCTGCTCATAAGACAGATCAGACGGAGATCTTTAATGCTTTCCACCACGTCAACCTTTAGAGTAAGAAAAATGAAGGCGTGTGTGACACTGTCCTCCAAGAAACCATCTCTGTGAAAGTCTTCAAAAGCCAGCATAATTTCCTTTTTGCATAAAGACCAGCATTTCTTATAGAAATCCAAGGTGAATCCGTCCGGCCCGGGTGCTTTGAACACATCACAATCTCTGATGGCTTCCCACATTTCCTTTTCTGTGAAGGGACAGGTGAGCAAGTTGCAGTCCACCTCATTGAGAATTTTGTTCGAGTAGTATTTAGGGAAAGGTCTCCTACTGATGTTTTCCTGATAAAGAGACTTGTACTTGCTGGCAACGCCCTCCCCCAGTGCGCGTTTCCCCTCAACAAATTGACCATC